CCTGACATGGCTTTCTCCTTAATTTCTCAATCCGCCATATTTAGTTATTACGTCACAGGAAGTTTTGTGTGAATGGCAAAATAGGAAACGGATCAGGGAAACCGTAATGTATACGTTATAAATATCTATGCAAAAGTGCATAAAAGTGATAAAAATTATGAAAGAACAAATAACTGTACTAAATATCTATGTATTTACAAATTTATCTATGCAGAGACGTATAATATTTGATATACGTCCATGATTGTTCTCATCCCAGGACCATATTGATGTATCTTTTTATCAAACATCTTTTCATTATTTATTTATTTATTTATGTGTTCAATGATGTTTGTTAACAGCGTCGTTTCGTAACAGCGTGTATCTTATCATAAACATCAATAATACCAACTTGTCAATATAATCATAATCCAAACGTAAATTCAATAAATCTAGGGCAAACTGTGAACAAAAGAAAGATTTATACGGAAACTCCTGAAAAAGTACAAGGAGAACAGTAAGCGTCAAGTTCTACATCGACAGCACATACGCTCTACATACAAAGACGTAAAGTCATGTATGACGGAGATTCCGCCACTGCTGAGGCTCCAGAGGGGAAGGGGTGTGGCAAAGTACCCAAAAAGTTGGGAAAAAATTAGTGATTTGGCAGAAAATTTGCTAAATGAAAATGACGTTTATGCAGTATATACAAAGAAACAAAGACACAGCTACGCTGTCAATGTCTTGGTGTACCATACAATGATGATGAATCAAGATAAGTGATTCTTTAAGCTGTAAAAGTATTGAATTTGTCGATGAAATGACACAAGGGTAATGTAAGTTATAATTATATTACCAATGTCTGATTCGGAGCGTAGCCCTGGAATTTTGACTCCACTTCTTATATCGACTGCAACAAAGACAAGTTAAAACCACGGATAGCCAGAACCCTTTGGACATTAATGGCGAGTAGCGAGTGAGATTCGAACCCCGCACTTCAGATCCTTAGCTGAAAATACTAAAACAGTATACAAAGTGTAAATACTCGTGTCTGTTATTATATCCACTGTCGGATTTACGATGAAATGCTGTTCAATTCAACAACAATAAGCTTTTTAGTTTCAATACACTTGCCTATGTTTATGCGTTGCTGTCAATCATAGTTTAAACTACACGTGTATGCAACGATTCATTAAATTTTGATGTATCCCATCCGGACCACGTTCATTACAGGGATATACAGTTTGTGTTTCTGACCATTTGTCAGGCTGTCTCTATACTCTAAACGTTGAAAGTGTTCTCATTTCCACATCTTCTGTAAGGCACCAACAATGAAGAATTTTAAGAGAGATTTTGAAATGGTAAAATAAATAAATAAAGAACGCATACTTTTGTTTTGTCCGAAAATACATGAAGATCTTTAATCGTCTTCTGTCGATATCATTATTTTCTATAAATTCTTTCACATTTTCTTTCATAGCATTCTCTTTCTTCTATTATTGCCAAAGTTGGAAGTACTGGGTCTCCGTAGTATCGGGCCTTTGTAGTAATGGACCTTCGGAGTAATGGACCTTCGGTGTAATAGACCTCCGGTGTAATAGACCTTCAGAATTTAAGGATTAAATACTGCCTTCAAACTTTTTATGGTAGTACACGAATGCGCATTATTTCCCGCGGTTGCTATCAGATTAACAAATTGAACCAACCTTGGTTCCGCTTTAGAAAAAAATGCCTTGTTTACTAAAGAGAAAATTACTATTTCTACACAATTTGACCGAGTGTGCTTTGCTGTATGTTGCTTTTGTGTCCCATTAAAAGTAAAACTTATCAAAGACGTGCCAGGTTTGGGTAGTGGAGAAAAGTTCCAAGAGGAAAAAAATCTGACACTCGGCCACTACCTATGCTCCACATAGGCCTCCAACCCGCATCCGGTGACATCATATAACAAACGTTATAACATTTTTAAAAACAAACATTCGCTATTTACGTACAATATATATATCATATACAATGAATGGTCTATGACAAGTGCATTTGAGCCTATCCCGATCTATTTATAACATCTTTTACATTTGTGGGTGTGTGCACACGTGTGGTGTGTGTGTGTGGTGTGTGTGTAGGGAGGGGGGTGGCTGGCCGCAGTTACGCTTTGTTAAGTATGAAACTGAATTTTCCCGTTGCGGTTCGTCTTTTCTCATTATCATTCTGTATATGTTCCTTGTTTGTAAATAGAATTTTAATACAATGGATTTACACCCAACTTCAAAGCCATTACAATACGCCGTTACACGACCTGGTATTTGTCTAATGTACACCAGAGATTCTCGCCTTATCGGCAAGATGTCGCACATGAAACCTTCAATTTTGCCATGAAATGTTCCAGGGCTGAGGAGAGCGAAAGTTATCATAACCCCTGTAGTATCGAGGATGACTTTAGTTCTTAGCTGTCACCGGTCGTAAAATACCGCAAGTCCAAGGTCATGCATTGCTCAGCTGTTCTTCAGCTATACTCAACTTATATTGTAATTAGTATATTGCGTCATCTCATGTTCGTCCCAAAGGTCACAGCCATTTGATACTGTTTATATGTCATTGCAGGTGCAAAAACGAAACTCTGATCTCTTTGTTATTTAAAGAAGTTGTTTGAAGATTTGAGCATTTGGCTCCTTGTGACCCTGAATGTGGGCCACTCTCATTGATTAGAACAAATTTCATTAGTCTTTAGAACTGGCATATTACTGATCCAATATCATGACAATGGATCCATAACTAGGCTATTTCAGCAAACTAATGGCCCAAGGTCATGGCCCAGGGTTTAAGAAGTTATATGAAGACCATTCTGTTGGCCAAACATCATGACCACAAGCCTTTTGGTTACTGAGAAGATTTAAATACCTTTGACCTTTGAACTATGTGGCCTTGAAAAATGGTCAAGTCTATTCATTTGCACAAACAATGGCATTGAATTCATCAACTTTGTAGCTCTTAAAACAAGCATGCTTCTGAGCAAATATGATCCTGGTCCAAATGGTTATCAAGAGGCTGTCGACATTTGAAACGATGCCAGACACCGGGCAGGTGAGACAAAAATGAGAACTCAAAAAAAAAAATGTAAATGTTTGGTCAACTGTCATTAGGCTCTTTAAATGTCATTTAAATGTAGGCTTGTGACACACAAATAAAAGGCAGTTATAGTTTTACTTTACACAGTAGCGCAATTACCCTTTTTCTTTAGTCACAGCTCAGCAGAATTATTCAGTGAAATTTATCATCTAAATTGCCATCCTCAATACTCAAGAGGTTACGATTATTCACTCTCTGCACCCCTGGAACATGTCATGGCAAAATTTAAGGTTCCATGCGCAACACCTTATGAACAAGACGAAAAGACTAGTTTGATTCTTCGATGTACATCAAACACATTCTCAAGGTCACATAAAATGGTAATGGCTTTGAAATTGGGTGTCACCCCTTTGTAATCTTCTAAAGGAGCGTATCAGCCTGTGATTGGTCAGGTTTTTTCTCCTGGAACCAATCAAATTGTTTGGCTGGTGCCTTTAATTTTGCCTTGACATATATTCAAGGGGTGCAGGGAGAGAAAATGACTGTAACCCCTGGAGTATCAAGGATGCTAAATTGCAGAGATGCCAACACAACAGAATAGAAGGTAAATGCTACAGGCCATCAGAGCCTCTTCCTCTTGGCAATGTCATGTATATGTTAAGAGTGTAATTTTGTCAGTCATTTAAATATGTGAGAGAAGAGAAAAGATTGACAGACATGGATGGACTGATAAAAAGAAAAAAATTATTTAAAGATAGAAACAAGATGGAGTCCAACGAGATAGACAACAAAACAAAAACTATTCGGAAGAGGCCTTTGGTCATCTGACTGCCAAAACTTTCAGCAGGGTGAAGGGTTATCTTCTCTATTTTGAATAAAATCTTACTAAGAAGCTATTTTCCAAGATTCAGATGGTAGTTTTGGTGAGGAGTAGGTAACTTTAACAAATGTTACCTATTTTTTTAACCTTTTGGAAGTTTGAAATAGGTGTTGCACAGGAAAACCATGTTTGCCCAATCATGTTATAAAATGGTCTCCTTGGCTGCCAAAACAACACTTTGTTGGGCTAACTTTCATTAACATTCCCAGCAATTTTTAGCTCATTGGCACCAGTGAAACTGGAGAAGTTTGAAATATGTTTTTCAAGATGGCAGCCATGACATACCCGAGGGAAAAAAAAAAACACCTAGTCAGGACCATCTCAGTATCATTTCATGCAAGTTGGAACTCCATCTCAGCAGTAAAAGCTGAGAAGTTTGAAATGTCAACAGTTTATGCACGGTGGACGACGATGGGTAAGGCCTAACAACTATAGGTCATGACAACCCTTTGGGTCAGAAGGCCTAAAAAGTAATTTCATGGACAGTCACCTGCTGAAAATAAAAAAAGTTGGCAGACAGCAATAGAGAACTGAACAGATGGACAGACAACAGTTGAAAACAGAACTTACGGACAGACAAGAGAGAATGGGGAACAGACCAGCTGCACAGACTACATGAAACAGAACAGATTGACAGAAATACAACAATGGGGAACAGAAGATATGGACAGAAGACAATTAGAAAAAAACATTGATTAGAAAGACAACAGATAGATAGACATGAAGTAAGGAAGACAGGGCATAGGAAGAAAACAGAAGTACAAAGAAAGGATGGACAGACAACAGAAGAACAAAGAAAGGATGGACAGACAACAGAAGTACAAAGAAAGGATTGACAGACAACAGAAGTACAAAGAAAGGATTGACAGACAACAGAAGTACAAAGAAAGGATTGACAGAAAACAGAAGAACAAAGAAAGGATTGACAGACAACAGAAGTAAAAAGAAAGGATTGACAGACAACAGAAGAACACAAAATGAGCGGACTGGCGACAGTTTTGCTGGCAAACTCCACCACTTGATTTTTCCTTCTTTTGCCTTTTCAGAAAGTGTGAAAAAAATAACTCAAAGTCATTGATCTTTGATGTATGATGTAATGGAAAATATCTACATGTGATTTAGCGAGCACATTGACTTTTGTTCATTCTCCTTTCTATCATTTTCACTCTGTTTCACTGCTATTGTCCATTTTTCATTCTTCTTTCTTTCAACTGGCCATGGGCCTTCTTTCCTCCAATTACTCTGTCCATAACATTCAAATGTCACCTTCCTTCAATTCTCGTACAGCCTCCTGAAAATATATGTATACATATTTCAATATTTACAGTATCAGCACAGTTTCAAGTGCACAATACTGGAAGATATTGTAGGTTCTAAAAAAGTGAGAATCCCACTGAAAAAATACAAGTCCAGGACACAAATATTTGTTTTCTGAAAAATCACAGACCCAGTTTAAGCAGTGACATTTTTGGACCCCAGGAAATTGGTTTCCCTTTCCTACACCTTGAAGGATGGTAAGATGTTTTTAAACCAAAAGAAACTGGATCCCCTTTCCTACACCCTGAAAGGTTAAAAGATGTTTCTGAACCAAAAGAATCTGGATCCCCTATCCTACACCCTGAAAGGTTAAAAGATGTTTTTGAACCAAAAGAAACTGGATCCCCTTTCCTACACCCTGAAAGGTTAAAAGATGTTTTTGAACCAAAAGAAACTGGATCCCCTTTCCTACACCCTGAACAGTTAAAAGATGTTTCTGAACCAAAAGAAACTGGATTCCCTTTCCTACACCCTGAAATGTTGATTTTTTCTTTAACCAAACGAAATCGAATATCCATTCCTACATCCTAAGGGTTAAATGATTTTTTAGTGGATCTTGTAAGTGTTGAATACATTAATTTCTCTCCAGAGTGATCATATCATCAAAGTTTTCATTTAATTGCTGTTATGATATCATTCCTTTGCCAATTTCATGTAATATCATTTCAATCTTGCTAAATGTCGTACGATTACTGCAGAAGGAGATTCCCTCCTTTCAACCATGGGATGAGGAAAAGGAAAATTCCCAACATGGATACCTGTCCAGAATGGAGAAATTTAAGTCGTGTACTATCCTGAAAAATTCCTGCAAGAGACTGGTGTTATGGCTGACTAAAAGATTTCAGTGATTTGCTTTTTGTTTGCCAGGTTTATTGCCCTTTGAGCAGCCAGGGTCACTTTGAGTCTGAGTATCTGGTGGATATGCATACCTCATTAACTGTATGAAGCCCTAAAGTGTCTTATCCATGGCATATAAAAATATAGTATATATATATATATACAGTAATCATATTGTTATTAAAAAAAATAAACTAATTTTGGATGCTTTTAAAATAGAAATTTGAAAAATCGCAGCATTATTTACGCAGAAAATTGCCACTAAAGGGCTCTAACTCTCTTCAATATTTCAGCCAATGAGAAGGCCAGGATCAGTAAATTTTGTCTGAAAGGCTGTGGCAATAGGCTATGCGTACTGAGTAGGTTTAGCCTAAAAATCATGATCTCTGTATCCTGAGGCACACAAACCTTTGGATCTTAACTTGAAGTTGAAAAATCTAATGCTTGATTGAGAGAGCTATCATGTGCTCTGTTGAACTTCAGGGAGGACAATTAGTGTGCAGCAGAAACAAGACACAAACAATTTGAAGCAAATTTTGCTTATAAATTGGTAATATTTGTTTCATGATACTAAATTACATCAAAATTGTACATAGAAATGCTTGCTATATACTGGTAAATAAAGATTACAACTTATCATAAAGCAACGAAGAAAATACTGACATGTCAACAGAATTGTACCAAGTAATTCAAACTTCAATGAAGCAAGGGCAAAATATGAAAAAAAGAAAGATTTACATGGAGACTCTGGAAAAAGCATATTCTGCATTGGCAAATCTTGTCATGTAAATGTTGACCAATGAAAGTAATTTGAAGTTTCCAAATGAGAACAAGGTATACAACAACAGAAGCATCAGGCATGAAGGAACAAACTATGAAAATTTAAATAAAATGTTTATATATTTATGTAAAATATCAATGATTGTAATTAAAATGGTAAACAACTTTTAAAAATGAAACATTCACAAAACCTACCCTGAAGCGTTCTTCTAAGAGTGAAAATTCAGAAATAAGATCGGTGATGGCATTTGTAATTGCTTCCTGTGGACAATATTCAGCTGTTGTCTGAATTCTCACCACAAATTTATGTTCCAAAGGGTGAGGATTTTTATAGCCTGCAAACAGGACCTGAGGATCTTTACGTAGCTGACTGTAATAAAGAAATATAAGCACATCTAAAATTAATGTTATCTAATTTTTTTTTTTAATTCTTACTTAAAACTTTGACATTCTGCATTATTCCAGTATATAGACAGGGCTCTCGATCTGCCAGATTTGGGGCCGATATTCGGTATATCCAATTTAGACTCCAGGTTTTCCCAATTCTAAGGAAAACGCCGCTATTTTTCCCAATACTAAGGTCCCCGGGCCCCAGTCCCAAAATGGGATGTGACAGCCCTGATAGAAGAAATATTGGTTTCATTCGAAAAAAGTAAAATTAATTTGTTTACATTATTGCCAGTTTTTGCTCTATATGTGAATTTGAAAAGCTGTACTTGTATATATTTACTGAAATCCGGATATGATTTTGAAAGCATGAAGGATATCTTACGCAGTGATCATGTTGCCCAATGTGTGATCCTCTTTATTTACTGTGAAGAGAGCTGCATTAGGAACCTTTGTGTCTTTTTCAATATTTATCCTGGAAAGAAAGTCAGTGAAATGTTTAAAATTATAATTGATTCACATTATGTACACATTTTTCGAGAAAGTAGCATGCATTATATACCTTAAGGAGATAGTTATTTCCTCATTGTTGACATTGAATGGTTTGGCTAGTAGTAGTGCCAATATATTCATAACCATCCCATTTTAAACGTTCCATTTAACAAAATCGTATCCATGTTTTACGAGAGCTCCATATCTAGTTCTAGTTCGAAAAATCGCGGATAGATAGTCAGAACCCTAATTTGGACTACTTTTGTTCAGGTAATTGCTGTTTCGATGCCTACTGGAGGAATCCAAATAGAGAATGTAGTTCGGAGTGCATTGTCAACTTCAACAGTTAAATTATCAAAATATTCCAGACGTTGATACGTAGTTTGTACGTCATTCCTAACAACCTTCAACTCAGACAGATATTGGTGAACAGAACAATTAATCTTACTTTTTCTCTCCGTCAAAAAGGAGAAACGTTTCAAAAGTTGGCGGAGCATTCATTCTGGGTCGATCTCATGTGTTGATTTTCTACCGGAAATGAAATATCCTGTCCTCCGCATAAAACCTTATTACATATTCTCATTTTATTACATCGCTTAGTCAAACAGTTTGTATGATCAAAGAGGCACAACGTCGATGATGTTTTGTCTACAAACATCAATCACAAAACTGAAATCAACACTTTTGATTTTTTTTATTTTTTAACTGCGGAGATTAATCAGGGTTATATACTTCCGGTTGAAATTCAACGGAAGTTTATAGGCATTCTCAGGTAAAATTGGGGGGACCAAATGCAACATTTTGCAAAATTTCCACTATATTGAGTTCAAGTGAGTATTGCTTTTGGTATTTTAATAGTTTACATCTACAATTATCTCTTCGTGCATTTAAATTTCGACCAATTGGATAGTTTGTTTACGTCAATTTACCAATTCGATTGACTGAGGATGAACAGATGAAGACAAACACAGGTGTTTATAACATAACACTTTGGTTGACTTGTACGTTTTGTAACATCTTTTGTTATCGATTTGCTTCTCTATATTATTAGTTTACTTCTTTATTTCAGGTTTCTTTACTAAGCAACATGAAGCGCAAATAGTAGTTGGACCCACACTGCCGTTTTAACAACAAATAATTACTTATTATGACGGAATGAAGTTTTATTGAAAGTTATTTGGTGCATCAGGTTGATTGACTACACACACAGAATGCGCTGTCGGATGAGATATCGCACAGGATGGACAGTGTTTTTACTTGTTTGTTCGTTGATCGGGGTATTTCTAACCTACAGACAAATCAGTAATTCTAAACGTAATGGATCATCATTTTACAAAAAATCAAATCCAAAATTCTATAAACCTCAAGATGCATTTTTGAAAGAGTTTCACCAAGATTATGATAATCATTATCATAGCAATCAAAATTCTGACAGAGATTCTGTAAACGTTGAACAACAGGTACGTCCAGACTTCAGTGGTCAAAATTTCCAAGGTGGATCATTTGGTAGAAGCAGATTGGTTGCCAGAGAACCAGCTGACATTATGAGTAACAAGGATGCAGTCAACAGTGGTAACACACCATCTATTGACAGGACACTGAAGTCAGAGTTTCTGAGTGTACTGAAAGATTTGAATCCTTCTGATTTGGGGAAGGCTCCGGACGCAATAGAAATGGCTCTTAAAGTTAAGACATTCCTCTTGGACTTGGACATATATAGCAAAATGACTTGTAAAGATATTGATTATCTTCGAGTGTCACGTTCAGTAAAGATTACCCGTCGTAAATTTGTCGATCAGGCTTTCATTGACAAAAGGGGGTCCGAAGTCATCATAAAAAGTCAGGCAGTGGATTTGGACAGTAAGATCAAATGTATGCAGTCAAGATATGATGCGGACAAATGCCAGGTGATGGGAAACTACAATTTATTACGAGAGATAGTATTCTTGACGTTACTGAAACATCCCATCATCATTAAGCTTCAAGGTTACTGTATCAGGGGTGATAGCATCAACTACAACATCAGAAAGAAAGGTGTTATTCTAGTCACTGAGCCAGGCATGTCTGTGAATATTGGAAACCTAGCATCATACAGCTGGAGGTCCAAAATCCTGGTAAGTGTATTTATAAAGTTAGAACCTGAGTTCATAATGGTGGAGGTCAAGAATCCACCTGGTTAGGGTATTTATAAATTAAGAACCTTATGTCACACAGAGAGAGGTCAAGATTACAGCTGGTAAGGGTATCTATAAATTCAGAAGCTAACGTCATATACAGAGGGAGGTCCAGATTACAACTGGTTACGATATTTCTTAATTCAGAACCTGACGTCATACAGAGGGAGGTTCAGATTACAACTAATTATTGTGTCGTCTGCAGAGCTGGCGGATACATAGGGATCACTTTGTCCGTCATCACATGTTGGCGGCATCCATATGAAAGTTTTCCGGACTTTTTTCGGTTATGCTTTGAGTTATCAAAATGAAATTTAGTGTATGGCTTCTTGTCGGAAGGGTACAGATTCAGTTTGATTCCTGGTTGTCTGTGACCCTTCTTTGCAGAGTAATGCCCCTATGAACTTAGAAAATTCTCTGGGAATATTGTTTTCTGGACTTTCTTTGGACCATGACACTTTATGCAGGCAACACATACAGTTCCAAGGAACTCTTGTTATAAATATAAAACCTGATCACAATGTCGGACAGGTGGAGGTTGAAAATCTTGGTTATCATATTATACAGCAAGAGCTGGTATCACAAGGGCCATTCTTTTCTGTAAATAACAGCTGTAGCTACACATAAAAGTATTATGTGGGACAACAGCACACACTAACACAGCTTACACACCCATGAATAACCTGTTTTTTTGTAGAGATCTGTACTAAGGAGTATAAACATATGCATGTCATCTAGCAAGCAAAAAGACTTGGAATGATAATACTACTTTAGAGTTATCAATAATTTCCATCAGTTTTAGTTTTGTATAGAAGTTGTTAAAAAAGAAAGAAGATATATATATAACATCACTATTTGGAGAACTGTACATTAAAGATACAGTTGTATTTATAGGTTTCATCACACTGAGAACATGTACCCATTTTCTTTTCACAGTATGCCATACAGTTGACAGATCTGCTGAAGTACCTGGAAAACAGCCCTCTTGGGAGTCTTTGTATAGGGTCTGTCAAAGCTTCTGACTTTGTATTGGTGGATCAGTGGATTAAGCTGGTGGATTTGGATGAATTGTCTTTTGAGGAAAAAAAGTGCCAGGTGGAATCAGACTGTAAAATCAGTGGAGTAAGCATGTACAGTGAGTATTGAGGCCCAGATCATGTACAGTGAGTATTGAGGCCCAGATCATGTACAGTGAGTATTGAGGCCCAGGCCTAGTACAGTGAGATTTTAAGCCCTGACTATGTTCAAAAGTTTTGAGGCCCTGATCATGTTTCAGAGTCCTGACCAGGTTTACTGGGTGTACAGGTCTGATTTTGTACAGTGAGTTTTGGTGCCCTGACTAGGAACAGTGAGGTTTTAGTCCCTGACTGTGTTCAGCTGGTTTTGCTCAAGAGTCTGGCCATGTTTTATGAAGTTTGAGGCCCTGACCATGAACAGTTAATTTCTGCCCTGACCATGTCCAATGAGATTTGAGGCCCTGGCTATGTTTAGTATGTTTTGAACCCTATCCATATGCCATGGATGTTGGAGCCCTTGTGGTTAAATACACCAAGAATTTAGAGGCCATAACCATGTATAGTGAGTTTTTATGTCCAAGCCATGCAAGCAGTTAATGATATTGTGTGTGAAAATCTAAAGTGGTTAAAAAATAAAAAAGCAACAAACTGCATATATGATCTACCTTGTATATCTAAGTTAGTAGAACTAGTTTCACTAAGAACTTCCAACCTGTAGATTGTTTGAAAAAGATCTTTACCTGCTTAATATTTTTTCAAGCTTTATTGTAGAAATTCAAACATACTAAAATCTTCAGCTATTCAAATAAACATAACTAAGATAAACATGGTAGATTTATTTTTTTGTACATTCAAAGTTAAATTGATGTAACCCAAAACCAAATTTCAGTTTCTTGTTCACTTGATTTCTGGTTAAGGTAAACCAGAAACTTACTATATAAATGTTTCTGTATCTTGTTGATTTAGCGTAAGTACATCAAAACGTTTACATTGTGAGGAACTCTTCTGTTTATTATGCGCACATATGTTTCATAAATAAACTGTAAGCTGTAACAGATAAATATACACACTGTATTCTGTTACATTTCAAATATGCATTATGTCATATGGAAATTCAATTTTCATTTTTATTCCGTTTGATTTTGAAAAATACACAGATTTAAAATAGTAATAAAAATCTCCTTTATTTTTTTATCTAAATCTGACGGGTTCCCAGTAAAAAGTGAAATCCTTTATCAGATGTCCTGAATGCCATTTCTTTCGTCTTCAGAAATTCCTTGTGAGAATGGACGCTGTGTTGGTAGGAATGTTAAGCAGAACCTCAGAACTTTGGGTGTTGAATTGTTGGAAAAGCTGCTGGTCAATCCACCTCCCTCTGAAAGTGATAAAGTATCTCAATTGAAGCAAAAGATCTTGACTCTGGAAATCACAACATCACAGTTGATGGAAGAGCTTGATCAGCTTAGATCAACAGCAGGTAAAATTTTCTTTAGCTCTTAATACCATATCTTGTGTTGTAAAATTGCATAAAATGTGGAAAATTTCTAACATGAACATTTCCAAACCATTTTCTCATTTGTCTTATAGGATTCTTGGTGTGAAATTTATATACAGATGTTAAAAGATATCTGTTTATTTGAGTCTGCTGCAAAGTTTCCACAAGATCTTATTTTTTTGCTCCACCTTTGCTTTGCAAATTCACAATCTCAGATAACAAACCCCCTTTGTGCTGGATTTCGGGCTAATATGATTGATATTACTGAAACTTTAATTCACAACTTTGTTATTTGCAGTTTGGATTTCACTATATTGACTTCATTAATGAAAACTCTTATTCATCGATACTTGTATGTGAAATCTCCATCTTCAAATGTAAAAATCCCAATAGATTCATTTATGACCATGGGTTTTCAGAATGTCAATTCGAATCAGACTTTGTCCGATGTCCTTATAGGAAAGCAAGTAAAAAGCATATAATTTTAAATACACTTAGCTTATTTGTTGCACTTATGCCTTCAAAAATTGATGAAATTAGCATTACAACTTGGAAGACAGCAAAATAATTTCTTGTGCATTTGATTTTCTATCAGTTAAAGCCCAACATAAACAAAATGGTAAGTTTTTGTAAACATTTCAGTTGTTTATAATCACTGTGATTCAAATTATTTTTAACATTAATGACATTAAAGTAAAAATTTGATAATAGTTCTAATATTAATACTACAGTATTGAAAATGTCTGATATTGATTATAATTTGAATCGTTGTGATATGAGAAATATTGGTACATTTTATATCAATTCATATATTGAATAAAGATATATTCATTTTAAATGCACATGGAGATGTTGTATGGCACTGACATCCAAATAAAATTCTCTGTTTATTGTAAAGGGTCCGATTTTTTTTCTTACCTTATAGAATTTAGCTTGGCTGGCCTTTCAGTGAGCCAAATATAGTGCTGTGATAACTTGTTAAACAGAAAAATTGACCACGTCATACAATATGAAACATATATGCATTTTTTGAAGTTATTGAATAATTTTCACTTTATGATTAATTTATTGAAATTAATTTTTATATGACCTTTAAATTTTGTTGGTTTTTTGGGTCTAAATTGCAACTTTTTAAACACCAATTAGACTTGTTGAATAATATTTTCACAGCAATCTCAATCATTGTCATTTGATTTTGATATTTGTGGAGAGGAGTACTGATGATAGGAACCTTTATAACTCCCTACTAATGTCGCAATCTTATAGTCGGTTTAACAAGTTTGCACCGGGTCAAGGTTTGTCTGTCTAATTGTCCATCTGTCTGATTGTCCATATGTCTAGGCAGTGTCTGTCTAATTGTCCATCTGTCTAGACAAACATTTCTCTAAAATACAGCAATTACTGGTATGTCATGATTTGCTAATTGATTCTCAGGACTAAATTGTTGCTAGAGCAATCACACGTGTATACCATTGAGGAATATTATTTCAAATTGATTTAGTTTCTAAATATCATAAGAAAATCAATTTTTGGTTCATTAAATGATGAAGTAAAGCAACAAGCCCAACATAAATAATGAAGTATCGTGGAATAACGCATAAATATGTTTTCAACTCATTTGTGATGTTATTTTTTTTTTATTTTTTTTTAATTTTGAGAAATATCAAGATTCGTTTTATTGAGTTAAGTGTGTGTCATTGAAATAATTCCCTTGAAAATATATCTACTGGTATGTAAAGGTGCTTATGATATGTATTCGTTTCCCGAGTTCTGTTTTAAGATCTTACGATTATTGTGTTTTTGTGTCTGTTTGACTTACCACTGTACTTACTCTATTGATATAGTTAATCAATGTGTTAAGCTTTGTAACCTGCCCAAACTACTCATGTTTTGTTCATTAAAGCTCAAAACAATAATAATAATAAAACTCACTTTTAATATGTTCAGTATTGATTGTAAATGGTTGTCTTTCCATAATTCATGATCAGAAAAAAGATCATTTTTAATTAATTATTGATTAATAATCACCCCGCTTTTAAACTCAAATCTCTGCATCTCATATACGATACAACAAACTTTCAACAGAGAGTTTTGTGGTTTAATTTACAAATATATACAGTTAGGGGTTAGTCTGGTTTAGGTGTATAGTCTTTGTATCATTTCATGAGGATTGTCAACAGAAATTGATAGAAAATTGACATAGAGTAATTTCAACCATTTAATTGATTTTGAAATACAATGTATTTAGTCAATCAACAATGCTAGTGTTAATTATGGACATTGGAGACATCTGCTATATCAAACGAACATCATTGTGATGATTAACTACGAAGTAAATGCAGTGTTACTATTTTACCATGAAATGTTGGTACATGTTTATATATGTCAGGACAAATTCCATTTCTTTCTTACCAACGTCTGGATGTATAGAAAAATTAAGTCTGGCACTCAAAAGATTCACAGAGTCCTTGTTTACTAAGTTTAAAAATTAAGTCTGGCACTCAAAAAGATTCACGGAGCCCTTGTTTACTAAAGCTTTTATTACAAAATTTGGTGGTAAGTGAAGGATTTTTTTACTATTTTTCAGTAGTATGTTTCTGTTTTGGTTACCCTACAAATAATTTCAGTACGGTTATCTTGTTGAAACCATTATTATTAACTTTTTTTATTCAAGAAATAGGTGATGATTCTTTAACTTATGTAAAGAAGCCAAAAGGAAGCCTTTTTTTAAATGATAAGTGAATTGTGTAATATATGCTTTGGTGAACCCAAGTTCTTGTTCCAACCACATAAGTATAAAGTTTGTGTGACTCATTTTATAATGCTAATGTACCTGACAGACATAAAGTTTGTTGTACCTGACAGATATAAAGTTTGTTGTACCTGACAGATATAAAGTTTGTGTGACTCATTTTATAATGCTAATGTACCTGCCAGTTCCCTTACATTAGATTCTTTGTGATCTGCTTTGCCTACTAGAACTTATACAACTGTAAAGTTAGTGTTTGATCTTGGAGCTTAACGTTTGTAGAATTACAGTTGTAAGTAGATTACATTGGGATGGGACATACAAGATTTCCAGTGTCAGTCTGGCATGTCGCTTATTTCCTGTTACACAATCCCATTTTGGATCTGATTAATGTCATGTCTTGACAATCTCTGAACAGATATGGTTCATATTTGCCCCCAAAGTATTCTTATTGATATAAGATGGTCATTGATCAAGGTCAAAGGGCAATGACCATAGAAGACAACTAATGCAAATTTATCAAACAATGATACTAACATGCATTTGAGAGAAGGCATTTATGTCTGACAGACATTTTCACATTTTAGATAAACATGCATCTGTATTTTTTGTTACCAAAATCTTTAACCAAGTTTTTGTTCAATGATTTGCATGTGTTTTTTTAGAATATTGATGAAAACAACATTTGTCAATTATCTTGTAAATTTATTTGTTGCACTTTAATTTTGAAAAAAAAAGATTTTTATCATTTAAATTTGAATAATATGTATCATAAAAAACTTGTGAGACACCTTGATTGTTTTGATTGGATTGAAATTCAGATGGGTTGAAAAAAAATCAAATAAAAAATTATATTTCAGCTTGAAATAAATGATGTGCAGAAATTTTTTAGAGCTGTATGTCACAATACTGAAGAAAATATCATATAGCCGCAACAAAATTATCAGAAAATCCAGGTATCCAGAGTTCAGATAAACAGGATGTCAGCTAGCCGACTAGTCAGATTAAACAGGATGTCAGCTAGCCAACTAGTCAGATTAAACAGGATGTCAGTTAGCCAACTAGTCAGATTAAACAGGATGTCAGCTAGCCAACTAGTCAGATTAAACAGGATGTCAGAATGACCAATAGTGATATTAAACAGGATGTCAGAGTGGCCAATAGTCACATTAAACAGGATGTCAGAGTGGCCAATAGTCACATTAAACAGGATGTCAGAGTGGCCAATAGTCACATTAAACAGGATGTCAGAGTGGCCAATAGTCACATTAAACAGTATATCAGAATGTCCATTAGTCACATTAAACAGGATGTCAGAGTGGCCAATAGTCACATTAAACAGGATGTCAGAGTGGCCAATAGTCACATTAAACAGGATGTCAGAGTGGCCAATAGTCACATTAAACAGGATGTCAGAATGTCCAATAGTCACATTAAACAGGATGTCAGAATGTCCAATAGCCACATTAAACAGTATATCAGAATGTCCAATAGTCACATTAAACAGGATGTCAGCTAGCCGACTAGTCAGATTAAACAGGATGTCAGAATGACCAATAGTCACATTAAACAGGATGTCAGAATGTCCAATAGTCACATTAAACAGGATGTCAGAGTGACCAATAGTCACATTAAACAGGATGTCAGAATGTCCAATAGTCACATTAAACAGGAAGTCAGAATGTCCAATAGTCACATTAAACAGGATGTCAGAATGTCCAATAGTCACATTAAACAGGATGTCAGAGTGACCAATAGTCACATTAAACAGGATGTCAGAGTGGCCAATAGTCACATTAAACAGTATATCAGAATGTCCAATAGTTACATTAAACAGGATGTCAGAATGTCCAATTGTCAGATTAAACAGGATGTCAGAATGTCCAATAGTCAGATTAAACAGGATGTCAGAATGTCCACAAGTCAGATTAAACAGGATGTCAGAATGTCCAATAGTCACATTAAACAGGATGTCAGAATGTCCAATAGTCACATTAAACAGGATGTCAGAATGTCCAATAGTCACATTAAACAGGATGTCAGAATGTCCAATAGTCAGATTAAACAGGATGTCAGAGTGTCCAATAGTCACATTAAACAGTATATCAGAATGTCCAATAGTCAGATTAAACAGGATGTCAGAATGTCCAATAGTCACATTAAACAGGATGTCAGAGTGGCCAATAGTCACATTAAACAGGATGTCAGAATGTCCACTAGTCAGATTAAACAGGATGTCAGGGTGACCAATAGTCACATTAAACAGGATGTCAGAGTATCCACTAGTCAGATTAAACAGGATGTCAGAATGTCCAATAGTCAGATTAAACAGGATGTAAGAATGTCCACTAGTCAGATTAAACAGGATGTCAGAGTGTCCACTAGTCAGATGAAACAGGATGTCAGAATGTCCAGGTGACAGTTTAGTGATTTTCTGGAATGGGGTGGCAGCATTTTTGCTCCTTATTTGTGTAGTCAATCCAGAAATTAATTTGTGTGCCAACTGGTTGTATACATATAAGTAGATTTATTGAGCTATGTTGATCCACACAATCCTGCATCCAGGAAATAGTGATTTTTAAAAAAATAACTGTGAATATTGAGCTCCGCAAAAATAAATGAGAGAAAGTAAACCAAGTGTACTTAACATTTTACTGCAGAAATATGTAGTGTTCATGTCAAAGCTGAAATATTTTCAACCATTTTTGATAACCTTTGCTTTATTTATGGTTGATGTGTTTTCATCATCTTTGGTCACTACTCAGTCATTATCATATATATTCAAGCATTTTTAAAGTTTCGAAATGTTAGAAACTCAAACTCTTGGAAACAATAAGAAAAGTATCATTTTTTTTTTTTTTTTTTGCTCTAGAAAAATTGGATTCATCACAATGGAAACCCGTTGTAAAACCGAAAGTTCCTATCCAGCCAGTAGTTAACCAACAGGAAATGGAGAAACGCAGAAGAGAGGAAGAGATCATGGCTAATAAGATTTTGCCTAACTTTGGCAAGGTGAGTCTGCCTAACTCTATGCTGGTTGCAATATGAACTTGTCAAATTTAATGTTTTTAAGATATGGTAGGTGTGTAATAATTATTGTAAGATTACCTTGTCTAACTTTTTATATGGTAAGCTTGACAAGATATTCTGCCTGTATTTAATATATGGTGGTTAATCATATATAATAAATCATTATGGAACCTGCCTAACTATGGTGATGTTTTACTTTCATGTTTGCAAACTCTTATATGAAGTTTTGAATTTATTCTTTTCACAAAACAAGAAATTTTATATAAATCATGTTAAAAAAAATTTGATAATTCTAATGAATTAAGAAGTGTAGTGTTAGCAATTTTATAACTGAGTGTGTTATTTCAATTAAGCCCGACGTGCAGCATGACTATGTGCGAATAGCTGAATCCAATTTTCCTGGAATGAATGACTACACATGTGCAGCATCCCGTGTGGCCTGGGGATGTGTGATCACGGTGCATAGCCTCACACAGGCCAAGGCGACCTGTGACTCTGATCCTGTTTGTAAAGCTTTTGTTGTGTTTACCTCCAACCCAGATATTGCAAGTGAGTAGCTGAGATTAAGATTACGTCTGTTAAATTGAGTTAAGCGTCATACTTAATGTGACAACATTAAAATTCTTACCTGCAGGTTTTGAGATTTTTTCTCCCTTCACCTCACAGAGGTTATTATTTATTTAGCTTAAACATCTTGTGTAATACAACGTTTGTCAAAGTTGATACGGTTTTCTACATGGTTACATTATAAAAATTGATTGTTTGACCAATCTGAGAGAAATCATTTATCAGTTATTTGAACCAAAGAGAATCAACTTGTTCACTTTTCTAAAGCGTGACAGGAAGTGTACAGTAAATAACCATATATTATCATTTTATATTAGTTAGTTCTTGCTGGTGTTGCCCTTTGGAGTTTTTCGGTACAAATAAGAACTTCTTAAGGAAGTGTCACACTTCTCACACACATCTTCTAGCAAAGCTGCTTTGAGCCTGCTCTAGTTAATATAAAAATCTAACTGTAGTCAGTGGTCAGGACTTCTAGCTGTATTTCATCATTTGAATATGATCCGAGGTTTCGATGTGTTGTGTTCCCAAGAACTAGCCTGTTTGGGATCAAGTTTCAGGCCTTGAGTTTGTCTAACTATTCATTCAACTTGATGTTCACAGGAACTACCAGAACTTTGTACAGTGTACATACCGTAATAGAAGTATGCAGTGGAATATCACAGCTTTTTCTGGAGGTTCCTTGGGGCTGAATGTTGGGCCCAATCCCAATTGAAATTATTTCTTAATAAGGCCAAATTTCCAAAATACACAAGTTCCTTTCCAATTAACCAATTTTCTTCCCGAAATGAGATAAAAGGCCCATTTCTAAATATGTGGGAAAAACCCTGATATCAATTATTAATCACTGTTTACATGGGAATGTTCATCATAATTGATCAAAGTTATAGTATATAATTGTCGAGGTATTCAACATACTTTGACAATGTGTTTTGACTCCAAAAATAAGTTTTGACTCAAAAGGGACATGTCTATTTAACATGTATTTTGACTTTTCAGATTTGTGATTTGACTTCTAAATTAGACAAAATTTCAAGAGTCAACTGTATGCCCTGATCTTTGATGACAAATTTGTTTGTTTCAGCTTTGATGACAATGGTAGCAAAGAATTCAGGCACTACAAAACCGGAACGAAACGCCGGAGCAACACTTTTCATCAAATCATCTGAGACTGTAGGAAGAGGTCAGGTTGGAGGAAAAGCTGCACCAGTGTTTGTTACACCTGCTCCCGAGGTCAAACCCTCTAAAGAAACACCACTAGAATGTCTAAAACACACATTAAATTTTACTAATGATGCCCGGGTTGCCCGTGAGAGGCGACTAATGGCACACCTGGGGCTCAAAGGTAAGGAAGAAATATTGTTCAGAAATTGTACCATTGTAATGGTCCTGTGGTTAGTCCGACTCCTTCTCTCTTGTGAAGAAATCAATAAAACTCACTACAGAAAATGGTATTTTCAGACCAAATTTTGGTCCAAAATTGATGGTTGTTGGTCACATTGTACAAGTGGTTGTTCTTCACAGTAATTATTTGAACTGTTCTGAAGTAGTTATATAGACAGGGAGTCACTTTATACAAGTGGAAGTTAGGAATTAAAAGAGATGAACTCTGTTGACACTGATCTGGTATGTTTGGAACATGTCTGTATCCCATCGATTTTAAGCTCCTGTATATCCAAGAAAAAATGCTAGTCAATTTCTATTTGTTGTTAGAAAAATAAAGTATCTATTAGCTAGAAACACAGAAAAAATGAGATTGATATACAGTATTAATTTTGATCATGATATTGACCTTCAACTGACCTTGAATTTCCTTTAAAGGTTTTAGTGATGGCGATTGGGAGGCTAAGATGCTCACTCAGAAAATTGTAAAAGCACACAACATGAAGACCGGCAAGACTGGGTCAAATATTGGAGGCAAGATGCAGGTAGACCTACAGGGGCTGCAGACAGAGAAACAATTCCTTCGTGGCATCTTCCTTGCCGAGTCAGGACCATATCAGTACCATATTGCTCACATGGCGGCCTTTAGACTGGACCGCATACTTGGAGTAAGAAACAGCTTTACTCTTTGTGTCATATAATAAGTTCCTTATGTATTATAATCACAGAGTAATAACTTTGACAATTTTTAGGTCATCTGACCCGAAGGGTCCGATGACCTATAGTCATCATGCTTCGTCCGTCGTCGTGCGCCGTGCGCCGTGCCCCGTGCGCCGTCCGTAAACTTTTCATTCAAACGACTTCTTCTCAAATACTAGAAGGCACAGAGGATACTGGCATGGAGCTCTACCAAGTTTGTTCAAATGAATGACCTTGACCCACTTTAAAGGTCACAGGGGTCAAATATGTTAAAATCTTTAAACAACTTCTTCTCATTAACCAAAAGGCTCAGAGTGTAGATATTGGGCCTGTGACATGCTGGGGTGAAGGGCTACCATGTTTGTTCAAATGAATGACCTTGACCCACTTTAAAGGTCACAGGGGTCAAATATGTTAAAATATACAAAGGACTTCATCTCAATAAGCAAAAGTCTATGAGTGCCGATATTGGGTCTGTAGCATGCTGGGAGGAAAGGCTACCAAGTTTATTTAAATGAATGACCTTGAACAACTTTCAAGGTCGCAGGGGTCAAATATGTCAAAATCTTTAAATAACTTCTTCTCAAATACTAGAAGGCCTAGGGGGCTAATACTTGGCCCATAGCATGCTGGCATGGAGCCCTACAAAGTTTGTTCAAATGAGTGACCTTGGCCCACTTTCAAGGTCACAGGGGTCAAATATGTTAAAATATACAAAGGACTTCATCTCAATAAGCAAAAGTCTATGAGTGCCGATATTGGGTCTGTAGCATGCTGGGAGGAAAGGCTACCAAGTTTATTCAAATGAATGACCTCAACCCACTTTCAAGGTCACAGGGGTCAAATATGTTAAAATATACAAACGACTTCTTCTCAACAAGCAAAAGTCCATGAGTGCTGATATTGGGCCTGTAAGATGCTTGGAGGAGAGGCTACCAAGTTTGTTCAAATGAATGACCTCAACCCACTTTCTAGGTTTGGCTTGCTTTTTGTCAGATGACCGTTAAGGCCCATGGGCCTCTTGTCTTAAATGTATTATACTGTTTTATCTTGATAGATGGCATAAGAAATACTTTCATTAGCCCACCTGGTCTGTCATCTGTCCATTCATCTGTCAACTTTTTCTATAAATCACAACTAATGATGAATGACTGAGTGAAGTTTGGCCATGTTTGGTCCGAATCATTCTTTGGGGAAGGGGACTCAATTTTGTATAAATGGTTTGTCTTTGCCTCCAGGGGCCTCAGGGGTAGGGCTGAAAATTGAAAGTTTTACAAGTTCTTTAAAATCCCACTTTTCCTGCAAGAGTGATGGATTTTACCAGAATTTGGGATTTCTTTAGGGAAGGGCAGATCAATTTTGTAACAATGATTGGTCTTGGTTCCTGGGGTGTGATGGGCAGGGCCAAAGAGGGAAAGCAGAGCAAATAATTTAAAATCCTACTTCTCCTGTACGAATAATTGGATTTTGCCCAGATTTGGTCTGAAGCATTCTTTGGTGAAAGGTGATCAATTTGTGTAAAAGGTGTGTTTCCACCTCCTAGGACGGGAAGAGCTGGGCCAAATAGAAATTGGTAAAAACTTTTAAAATACTTTCCTTTAATTTAGATTAATCAATTTCAGCAAACGATACCAGGTGAGCAAAATAGGCCCTATGGACCTCTTGTTTGATTTCTGACTCTTAAATCAAGTTCAAAAATTAGATCCGGTAACCAGAAATCTGAAAGTTTGAAATGCAAGAATGCAATATGTAAAAATTTGACATGAATTTGAATGGGAATGAGAGTTTTCAGAATCAACAGATTTTATATATGATTTCTTATTAGCTGTATCATACTCCGCCTTCCATGCTATGGTCTCTATCCAAGGCTGACCTGGAATTTGTGAAGGGAGATAGTGGATGGAAAAACATCCTGAATACACAAAAATCTGAATTTGGATCACTTACAGGTAATGTTTCACAAGTTTTCCTTTTTTTCATGAATTTAATATAAAAGAATATCATGTGTGTTATGGAGTTTTGTCATTAACATGAACTTGTAATGTCATTGTATTGTCTGTAAATCTCCAGTTTTAGCACCACACTATTCTTATATTGTCTGTGTCCATCTGTTTAGTCCTGTCATATCAAGTACTGTTCTCTTCTGAATCTTTGTCATATCTTGATAACCTCTCAACAGATTTGGTTCACATTTAAACAGAAATATCGTAACATCAAGTTCTACACCTAATCACATTTAAATGCATGTCGGTCAGAGTTACAAGGTTGAAGGTCACATTTGACAATTTATTATGTGGCAGTGTGAGTGGTTAGAGATAATTATTATTATATGTCGGTGTGAGTGGTTAGAGACTATTATTATTACGTGTCTGTGTGAGTGGTTAGAGACTATATTATTAATATGAGTCAGTGTGAGTGGTTAGAGATTATTATTATGTGTCGGTGTAAGTGGTTAGAGATTATTATTATTACTTGTCTGTGTGAGTGGTTAGAGACTAATAATATTATGTGTCTGTGTGAGTGGTTAGAGACTAATATTATTATGTGTCGGTGTGAGTGGTTAGAGACTGTATTATTATCATGTGTCGGTGTGAGTGGTAGAGACTATATTATTATCATGTGTCGGTGTGAGAGGTTAGAGACTATCCAACTATGATATTTTGATACATGGTATAGTAGCAGAAGTATGTTGTGCTCTTGGCATTTTCTAGCAGTACTAAAGCCTGTATTGTAAAGGTGATATGTAGATTATTAATAAATAAAATTGGAGATTGTTCTTTTGATGACAGTATATCAAGAAAACCATTGAATGCCATCACAGAAGTTAAAATTGTCATTCTTCTCAACTGGTCTGCACTCTCTGACATTTTGTACAGGTTTGCTCACTGCCTCTGTACCTCGTGTGGTGAAGAATGAGTCTGTTTATATCAACAAACTGGACGGAATGACTGCAAACATTGTGCCCTTCTCTCGCATGGAAAAGATGCAATTGGAATATGTGCTGTTGTGGTATCTTACGAAGACTCTTCACTCCAAAAACCTCCATCTTGGTTACAAAGGTATGTTGCTGAGTCTCTCTGAAATGGAACATCTTGACTTTTTTCCTCAAAATTTCCATAAAGTTAGGAAAGTAATTTTTGCTTCCCATGTAGGTAAACCGAAGAATTGCATTTTTGTATCTTTACGTAACTGCATCCATAAATTTTCTGTACTCACCATAATAATATTGATTATTGTTCTTCAATAGTTTTATACTTTATGGCTAAGAGGTCAAAGGTCATGCTTTTTTTACAAAACATCTCACAAATTTGAGATTTGAGTATTAAGGTCACACCATAAAGTGTGTTATGATAACCCCAATTCAGATTTTGGGATCAGTAAGAGGTCAAAGGTTACATATGACAACTTCTGAGGATTTGGAGTGTATATTTTTCAGATCCCTGCTTACTTTTTTTTTGTAATCTAAGAGGATATTTATGTGTAGGTCACCTGATCAACTTTGAGGCTGACCAAGCTTTCCAGGACACTAGTCTGGACCTACTAGGATACTTTCATCACTGTCAGTTCCCTAATGTGGTGTACAAGGCCATGTACTGCTTCAAATGTCCAGCCAAGTCTGGACAGTCATTACACTCAATATGTTCTCTAGGCATGGAGGTTAGTATGTGGAGAAAAATCAAAGAAAAAAAACATTAGAATTAAAAAGGATAAAAAAAGAGGATTTTTTTTTTCAGATTGTGTGTCCATTTTGCTAAATATAGACTTAACAACACAACTTTGACAACAAAAGTAGACTTAACAACAAAATCTTGTTGAGATAAGTAGACAGAACACAACCTTGACAACAAAAGTAGACATAACAACACAACCTTGACAACAAAAGTAGACAGAACAATACAACCTTGACAACAAAAGTAGACAGAACAACACAACTGTAACAACAAAAGTAGACAGAACAACACAACTGTAACAACAAAAGTAGACAGAACAACACAACCTTGACAACAAAAGTAGACAGAACAACACAACCTTGACAACAAAAGTAGACAGAACAACACAACTGTAACAACAAAAGTAGACAGAACAACACAACTGTAACAACAAAAGTAGACAGAACAACACAACCTTGACAACAAAAGTAGACAGAACAACACAACCTTGACAACAAAAGTAGACAGAACAACACAACTGTAACAACAAAAGTAGACAGAACAACACAACTGTAACAACAAAAGTAGACAGAACAACACAACCTTGACAACAAAAGTAGACAGAACAACACAACCTTGACAACAAAAGTAGACAGAACAACACAACTGTAACAACAAAAGTAGACAGAACAACACAACTGTAACAACAAAAGTAGACAGAACAACACAACCTTGACAACAAAAGTAGACAGAACAACACAACCTTGACAACAAAAGTAGACAGAACAACACAACTGTAACAACAAAAGTAGACAGAACAACACAACTGTAACAACAAAAGTAGACAGAACAACACAACTGTAACAACAAAAGTAGACAGAACAACACAACCTTGACAACAAAAGTAGACAGAACAACACAACTGTAACAACAAAAGTAGACAGAACAACACAACTGTAACAACAAAAGTAGACAGAACAACACAACCTTGACAACAAAAGTAGACAGAACAACACAACCTTGACAACAAAAGTAGACAGAACAACACAACCTTGACAACAAAAGTAGACAGAACAACACAACCTTGACAACAAAAGTAGACAGAACAACACAACCTTGACAACAAAAGTAGACAGAACAACACAACCTTGACAACAAAAGTAGACAGAACAACACAACCTTGACAACAAAAGTAGACAGAATAACACAACCTTGACAACAAAAGTAGACAGAACAACACAACCTTGTTGAGATAAGTAGACAGAACACAACCTTGACAACAAAAGTAGACAGAACAACACAACCTTGACAACAAAAGTAGACAGAACAACACAACCTTGACAACAAAAGTAGACAGAACAACACAACCTTGACAACAAAAGTAGACAGAACAACAAAACCTTGTTGAGATAAGTAGACAGAACACAACCTTGACAACAAAAGTAAACATAACAACACAACCTTGACAACAAAAGTAGACAGAACAACACAACCTTGACAACAAAAGAAGACAGAACAACACAACCTTGACAACAAAAGTAGACTTAACAACAAAACCTTGTTGAGATAAGTAGACAGAACACAACCTTGACAACAAAAGTAGACATAACAACACAACCTTGACAACAAAAGTAGACAGAACAACACAACCTTGACAACAAAAGTAAACAGAACAACACAACCTTGACAACAAAAGTAGACAGAACAACACAACCTTGACAACAAAAGTAGACAGAACAACACAACCTTGACAACAAAAGTAGACATAACAACACAACCTTGACAACAAAAGAAGACAGAACAACACAACCTTGACAACAAAAGTAGACTTAACAACAAAACCTTGTTGAGATAAGTAGACAGAACACAACCTTGACAACAAAAGTAGACATAACAACACAACCTTGACAACAAAAGTAGACAGAACAACACAACCTTGACAACAAAAGTAAACAGAACAACACAACCTTGACAACAAAAGTAGACAGAATAACACAACCTTGACAACAAAAGTAAACAGAACAACACAACCTTGACAACAAAAGTAGACAGAACAACACAACCTTGACAACAAAAGTAGACATAACAACACAACCTTGACAACAAAAGAAGACAGAACAACACAACCTTGACAACAAAAGTAGACTTAACAACAAAACCTTGTTGAGATAAGTAGACAGAACACAACCTTGACAACAAAAGTAGACAGAACAACACAACCTTGACAACAAAAGTAGACAGAACAACACAACCTTGACAACAAAAGTAGACAGAACAATACAACTTTGACAACAAAAGTAGACAGAACAACACAACCTTGACAACAAAAGTAGACAGAACAACACAACCTTGACAACAAAAGTAGACAGAACAACACAACCTTGACAACAAAAGTAGACAGAACAACACAACCTTGACAACAAAAGTAGACAGAATAACACAACCTTGACAACAAAAGTAGACAGAACAACACAACCTTGTTGAGATAAGTAGACAGAACACAACCTTGACAACAAAAGTAGACAGAACAACACAACCTTGACAACAAAAGTAGACAGAATAACACAACCTTGACAACAAAAGTAGACAGAACAACACAACCTTGACAACAAAAGTAGACAGAACAACACAACCTTGACAACAAAAGTAGACAGAACAACACAACCTTGACAACAAAAGTAGACATAACAACACAACCTTGACAACAAAAGTAGACAGAACAACACAACCTTGACAACAAAAGTAGACAGAATAACACAACCTTGACAACAAAAGTAGACAGAACAACACAACCTTGACAACAAAAGTAGACAAAACAACACAACCTTGACAACAAAAGTAGACAGAACAACACAACCTTGACAACAAAAGTAGACAGAACAACACAACTGTAACAACAAAAGTAGACAGAACAACACAACTGTAACAACAAAAGTAGACAGAACAACACAACCTTGTTGAGATAAGTAGACAGAACAACACAACCTTGTTGAGATAAGTAGACAGAACACAACCTTGACAACAAAAGTAGACAGAACAACACAACCTTGACAACAAAAGTAGACAGAACAATACAACTTTGACAACAAAAGTAGACAGAACAACACAACCTTGACAACAAAAGTAGACAGAACAACACAACCTTGACAACAAAAGTAGACAGAACACAACCTTGACAACAAAAGTAGACAGAACAACACAACCTTGACAACAAAAGTAGACTTAACAACACAACCTTGACAACAAAAGTAGACAGAACAACACAACCTTGATGAGAAAAGTAGACAGAACAATGCATCTTTGACGAGAAAATGAGTTGTGATATTGATGTGAGAGTCAAGAACAGATTAATGTACTTGAAGAGATGAAATTCCTCCCCTATGTATTATTTATCGTTGTTGTTACTTTTTTTTAAGAAACAAAGACACTTTGAGGACATTAAACTGAATATTATTCACAAAAGAATGACACCTGACCTGTAGATTTAGGTCAAAGGTCAAATAACTGCAAATTATTGTAACAGAACAAAATGGAGATTCTTGAACAAAATTGAGATTGAAATAAGGAGATATCATCATTATCTAGCAATAAGAACACGTCTGATAATAAGCCTACCCTTACATGTATATACTATGTTAAAATATGAACAATCGCTATTTTATTTTGCGTAATAAGCCCACCCATTCACTTTGAAAGTGTTGGCAACCTGGATGTACTGCGGGTAAATACTATATATATTTATCTACAAATTTGTTTCTGATGATAAAAAAAATGATAGGCATGTTAAGTTTCTGCTGATCAAGAAAATTATGGTCTGCTTGTTTTTAACTGTGTTACAGGTGGTTGATCAGGTGTTGGATGCAGGTTACGAGAGACCTGATATATACGTCAATCACCTGAACTCGGAGGAAATAGCCTCTCAGATTAATGTTGCTGCTGGAAATGTTCTCAAACTTGTTGACATGTGTATTAAGGCTTTTGGAAGGGAAAAGGTGCTTTATTGATGTGACAACTACATCTTGCCATTTGACTGAAATTTTCTACATGAGCAAAGCATGTTTGCATTGGAGGTTAATATCTAAAAAATATGTTTGTCACAAGAAGTGATTCGTCTTCGAATGTAGAGAATTTTGAGGAGGCAAAGAATGTTGTTCACTCTGTTTGATTTCTCAACAGAGGAAGGAGATGCTTGTCTCTTTGGAAAACATTTGCTATTGAGATTGATTTCTCAGTGAAGAGAAGACAGTTTTCCACAAAAGGTTGATTTCCTCATTGGTGGAAGGCATGTTTACTTATTTGTTTTAGATTTTTAGCAAAGAAACAAGTTTGTCACACAAGTTTTGTGTTAGCAGTATGCCAGTGTTTGCCACAGAGTGCAAAGTATCTGTGTGGTAGAGAATTTTAAATTCTCAGATTAAACAAAAATCCTATTTGTACCCAATTCACTTACAATGTCTTTTGACGATGCTCTTGGTTTGACTATGGAAATTGATCCCATATGAGTGTGAAAAATTCTCTCTGTTGAAAATCAGATACATTGAACAAGTAGATTTATATTTTGAGTCAAAATAACATTTTTTAACCAGAAAATTTACAATTCCTACAAGTTTTAGGTTTCATACTGACAAATTAGTTGTACTGCATTAATCAGTAGATTTACTATTGTTGTCAAAAAAATAATCTCTTATATTTTGGCATGCCATTCTTTTCCGACAAAATATTCTCTTTCTGAGAAAAAATACATACATATACTGGCAAAATCTGAGATATAAGTATAGTGCTGTGTAGGGTGAAGTGCTGTAGAGATTGACATCAACAAATGTTTCAGTGACTAACAAGCTGATGTTTTTACTTTGTAGATATGTGTTGACTGAATTAATAACCAAGTGTTCAGATTGTGATTGCGATGTCAATGTTTAGTTAATTTTCATATATTTATATTGAAGTTGTTTGAAGTTTTGTTGAAGTATTTTATTGTGGCATTCAGGAATCCTTACGAAGAGGGTGACCAGTTCTATAACATTCAATCGCGCGTGTGTGTGTGTGTGTGTGGAAATTATATCCCTGCCAACTTTGCCATCAATCAGGAATAAGGTTCTTACTTAATTCAAAATCATAGAACCAGTTTGTCATAATGTTAATTGTTGATTTTGAAATTTGGGCACAAATTGTTCTGTGGCGCTGCCTATGTTGAAATAGTCGTTCTCCAGCCTGTTTCCAATCAATGACACGCCCCCAAATATTGTTAGCTATTCGTTGTGTGTGTGACTACTGTACATTACATTCCATATTGTTGAACAAGCGTATTTGTCTTTTGTGTATTAACACAGGCAGCTAGAAAAGCGGGCCAAGACTTGTTAATCCAGAGGCATACGGAAATAGTATCCGTTACTGTTAAAATTTTTTCTTTGTTATTGAACATGAAAGAATTTTATCGTTTCTTTCTTAGCTGGTACCAACTTCTTACAATGTTTGATTCGGTTTTGAATTTTCACAATGTTTGAATTATACATATATGTGTACAAAACTACTCATTAAAACTTAGCTTGATGTGTTGTTTTTTCTGTGTTAATCATATTAAATTTTGTGATTTGTGACTTTAATTTTTTTTCAATTTCTTGTAGTTTTGTTCACTGTTTTAGTTTTGTCCTAAAGAAATTAGTTGTAAAAAGACTCTTAATGTTCACTGAGAAAGAAAAATGAGAGAAATTTATTTTTTACTTTTCTCAGATGTGAAGAGAAGTGTTATCATTGAATGAATTGTTTGATTGTGCATATTTCATGTTTGAGCTTTGGTTTAAAAAGAAAATTTCAAGAAGTTGGTGCCTCTACAGGCAGGCATTTTTCCTAACATTATTTCATTTGTTACCATAGTAAAAATTGTTATTATTTTGATTTATCAATGAAATTGAAGGCATGTAAATATGCGCAAAATGTCATGTTTTAGTACATAGTACTTTTATAATATTTTTAATTGAATTCTTGAGAGGAAATCGAACAAAGGTTCTGAATTTTCAGAAATTCACTATTTGATTTGTTAAAATATAAAGAATTTTATTTTCATTTTCTTCACTTAATGTTAAAATAAGATTATATATTTGTAAGATGTCTTTGAATGTATGCTCATATCCATGGAAATTTTCCTTGTAACACAAAGTACGACAATACAGGTAATATTTATCACTTGGTGATGCAATCTAGAAAATAAAAAATTTTTAATGAAATGAAATTTTATGATAATTGAAGTAATGCTGAAGTGAAATTTTGTGAGTGATACTGTGTAACTTGTCAAAATCTTAAAGATTTTCTTTTAAAATGATCAAAAAACAATTTAAAATTTCGTGATCTGGATGTAAATGACATCAAATACACAGTACACATAGTGTCTCACTTTTTCACAGATTAAATTTCATATACAGTGATATAATGAAAATATCATACGCGTGAAAATAACCAGCGTTACGGTAGTTTAACATCTGTTCATTATTGATATGTATCGCAAAATCACTCAATACAAAGTGAAAAGAAGACATGTCTTGTATTAATTTCTATCTATTAGCACTTCACTTGTATACATGTATCAAATTTAAATTAAATTGAGGTATATTTTGAAATGCTTTTCAATGACATAGCATATCAACTTGAGGAAACAGCTACTGCATATTTTTAAGGTGGAAACCGTAAATATTATTGCATGGCCTTTTGCTTGAACCTCGAAAACTTTTTCGTAATATTTTTTTCTGTGTAAATGACAGAAAGTAATTACAAAAAATATCAGTATACATTCTGTGTGACATTCTAAGATTGAGAGAAAAATTTATATAGAGTTGAGTGAGAGAGAACAGAAAGGGAGAGCGACAAAGGAAAGGTATTTTTCTATGCATATGATATATATCTGTATTGCACGTATTTTTGGCCAGGTGAATGTTATATATGTTGTGGACATAAGTATATATATATAAATGTGATGTGTGTGTTAACCTTCTTGTTGAAGCACCTAGTGCTAATCTGGTGTCTGTTCTATACATATCAAGGTTTGTTTCAGCCAATGTTCTTACCAGATATCTGTTTGAAATTTTGATGTTTCCAAATTTTGCAAAATGGTTCTGCATTTTATTTTTATATGCTGTTAATTGGTGAATTTTTTTAAAGGAAAATTTGCAATTATAAGATACAATCGAAATCGACAATTTGTTACAGAATTTGTCAGAGAGAGTGAATGAGGTGTGTGTATTTCATTACAGAATCTCCACATTAATGCTCAACTCCAGTATTCCAAACATGCACAAATGAAACCCTAATACCAACTATATCTTTCTTGTAATTTCTCTACAAGGTATGAGAACTTTCACAATTTAATCGATGAAATTAGAACCATTTTCCAATACAAAACATGTTAAGATCTGACCAGTTCAAATACTCAATGTCAAATTCCATTTTTTTTTTCCCTTCGAAATTTTACACAAAGGAGTGTAGATGAAATTTTGTTTATGAGGGAAATGCCTATATATATACAAACATTGATGATTTTGTCTTAGGTATTCTCATTCATAACACAAAAATAGAGAAAAGTCTGGTTTCAGTCAACAAATTTTTAAACTAAAACATTAGCTTTATATGTTAGAACAAAAGAAACTCGTAAATACTTTTTACCAGAATTTCTGCAAATTGAAAGTGTTGTGATAATCAACTGTGCTTATTAATCATGCTTGTACTTTTATAAGCCTATCAGTGCTTCTCATTGTTTAAACTTATTTGCTCTAAATAAATAAAAACTAGATTGGGATTCTAATATACATGCATAATTTTTGGATAAATTCTTTTTTTTTTTTTTTGCCATATGTTGAGCTTATTGATTGAGAAGAATCATTTTCTGTCTCTGCCCTGAAATTGTCTCTATTTGAGTGTCTTGTGTTTACTCTTTTCTGATGTGATAAAATCCATTTTGTAACCATTATCCCAATCAGATGTACATATAAACATTGATGAGATCAAGACTTTGCTCAGGTTATGCCTATCATTGACAATATTTATTTTTTGTTTGAATCATAGCTTTTTTGGAGGTGGAAAATGTGAAGTGGGATTCACATTTTGTTTTTTTTGTTTAAGCTTTGTTTTTTTTTAATTATTCTGAAATATATTTCATTACATCCGAAATCCATTCTTTTATTTGGATCACTGTCTTTATAGATGCCATCAAAGAATGCTTTAGGTTGTCAAGATTTTTCTATGAAAGTAATTTCTGTCAGGAATAGTTTGAAAAAAAATCTGCGGGATTTGAGAACAGAGTTTTAAACACTACAAGATTTGTCTTTTTTTGTTGTCTTTTATGACATACTTTTTTCCGTCATCTTATGTCGTGATGAGAGGTGAGAAAAGCAAAAATTCACTTTAGCACTTTAAAATAAAAAATTCACTTTAAGTTTACTGCTTATATTTGGTATTGTAATACATCGCTCTGATGTCTTCCCTGTGATGTTCTAGATATCTGCCGTATAACCTTTATCTCTTTTTGAGTTGGCAACCCCATGTGACGGTGAAATTATACAGTGGACGTTCTCCATGAAGTAGAAGATTTATACATTTTTAGAATTACTGGTATTGTATCCATGTAAATTTTTCTTTTGTACATAGAATAAGATTTTAGATTTATCTCATTTACAATTTTTCTTTTGTTTGTTTACAAAAATTCATTTAGATGAATTTACTCTGTATTTCAAGTTTCATTGTATAATCAGGGCATCAGATTAATTTAAGTCAAATTGTTGTGTAGTACCAGTATCTTGATCATGGTTAATACAAAGCTTGAAAATAATCTTCAGTTTGGTTATGTAAATTAACTTCATTCTTGATACATACGATAGTGACTCAATTAATTCATTCGTTTATTTCTGATAGTTTTCATGGCCCGAATCTTTATTCAGATCTTTTTTTGTCGCTCATCGTTTAAGATGTTAATTTGCTGGTGCTATCATCGGAAAGTTCGGATCATCTTTTTCTCGAA